GCAACATCCAATTGATATCAAATTTCTTGTATCTCAAAAGTAAAAGATCTTTTACAAACCGCTGCTGTACGGTGTAGGAATATACACTACGCCATACTGTACTGTGGATGTCGCAAGAAGCGAAAGAAGAAGATGGGCAGCAGCATTATCCTTATAACAGAGTGGCCAGATGTATTTTGAGTGGTAGGTGGATGATGGCGCACGTAAAATTGTATAAGAACTCCTATTTTACCTAGGATTCTGTATAGGTGTATATGTTTACTAATACTTATTTATAATTATACGGTTTACACAGGGCTCGTTCCGCAAATCCGCAAAAAAAAGAATCCGCAAAGCACTTTTCTCCCAATATTTTACGATTAAACTATAACACCTGGAAATAACAATGTCGTGTTTAGTTGTTACAAACAATCTCTATTCATTGATTTGGTCAAGCTATATCATCATATAGTCAACAAACACTGTAAAACTTTAAGAAATACCGCTATTTCACTTTCAATAATCGATTAATTTATGATATTGTAAATTCTTAGATCTGACCAATACATATATAAAACTCTTTTTATTTAAACTACAAGGATAATAAGAGTTTTTTACATACTAAGGTTACGGTCAGACAGATGGTCTTTCACCGTATTTATTTTTTATAATAATTATTTTATTGTTTTCAAAATTTTTATTTTCAAAATCACTTTCAATGTGTTTCTAGGTGACTTTTTCTAGGTTATATTTATTAAATTATTTAAGACATCGAGAGTAGTTGAGGTTTTAAATAATGCAGTTTCATAAACTACTCTAGTCACCACAAATATTAAATTTCTCAACACAGCACACTTCACTCCGTCGACAACTGCTAAGTTTATTTCATATCCTCTAGCTACTCCAGCGCTGTTGCGGAGAGTTTTTAAACTGTTATAACTGCTTACAGATGGTACTAAATGAAATGGATGATACTAAAATAAAATAAAAAAAGCCAAAAAATGTACATTAGAATTTTTAAATCAATTATAAATTAAATTAAATAACTTTGTAATGGCAAATGAGTCAAAATCCCACTACTTTTTGTATTTTACGTTAGATGGTACTGTCTTGAAAAAGTGAATACAACAGTAAAATCACCGATTGTTGGCGTAGTTCAATTTATTACACAGTGGTTAAAACTAAATTTGAGATTTATTAATAAATATTTAATTTACTTTAGTAAAACAGATCAATCGTATAAAATAGAAATTAACATCTAAAGGAAGGAAAATACTTAATCCTCCTTTTTGAATGTCCGTAATAGGATAAAAAGTAGCCTATAAGTAGCCCCCGGGTTCCTAAATACCTATACACAAAATTTCATGGAAATCTGTTCAGTAGTGTTTGCGTGAATCATATAATACACAAACTGACAGACAGACTAATATTTTAAAAACCACTAAATTGGCTTCGGTGCCCTTTATTTAGTCCCCTGGACTTGTTTTTTCCAGAAAATATTAGAACTACAGACACGACTTTGCTACAGATTTATAATATGTATACATTAAAGAATTAATGGGTGATAATAACCCCAGGTGAATCGCTACCAAGCTATTTCTTATTTGTTCTGTGTTGTTAATTGTAACATACATAATTGTAAGCTCTTATTTAAAAACATCCCGCTGGGTTTCTTGCAGGTTCCTCCCAAGTTAGAGGTGTATTTCTTTTTTATAATATATATTGAAAAAAAAGTTTCTGTTTTTGTACTACCATTAATAGAATAAGTTGGAAATGATTTACAAAAATAAATACAGTTGCATTATATTTTGTTATTTGTAACACAACCAATTTAAAACATATTTCTTACCGTGTGTTGGAAATACCATAAATATAAATGGACATAATATCCCTTAGTTGTCTTGGCTCCAATCAATAATTACTGCTTCTATATTTAATGAATTGGAGCTGATTGATATCCAATTTAAAACATCTTCCTTACCATGTCAATGCATTATGTTAAACTCAAGCACTTACCTGCTCCATGGCTCTCTGATGATCTGAAAAGGCTAATTTTGAAGAAGAATGCGGCATTGTCAAAGCTTAAAAGGAACAAAACAGAGGAAAACCTTAGAAAATACACTAAAATCCGGAATCGCTGCAACACATTGTGTAGAGACGCACAACGACGCCATATTCATTCATCAGTCGAGAACGGCGACTCATCTAGGGTGTGGAAGTTTCTTAAAACAGTTGGATTTGGTAGAAACTCTCTTAATACTTCACCTCCCAGTGTTGATGTTGAACTATTCAATCAACGTTTTTCTAATCCTTCTAACTCTTTTGATAGTGAACGTAAACTGCAAACACTTCGTTCTCTTTCTGTAAGTCCGACTCCTAATTATTCTCCGTTCCTTCTTAGTCAATTTACTGTATGTGATGTTAAGAGAATCATATTATCCATCTCAAATGCTGTCGGTAGCGACAGCATTAGCCGTAATATGATCGTTCCTCATCTTGATGTTATCACTCCCATTATCACTCATTTGCTTAACGCATGTGCATCTTCCTCTAAATTCCCTCAAGCCTGGAAGAGTGCTTATGTTATACCCCTTCCGAAGAAATCTAATCCCGTCAACCTCACTGATTTCCGTCCCATTTCGATTTTACCTTTCTTTTCTAAAGTCCTTGAAAAACTTATTTGCCAACAGCTGACACTTTTCCTTAATAAGCACAATTTGTTGAATTCTTTACAATCCGGTTTCCGTCCCGGTCATAATACGGCTACTGCCTTAATTAAAGTTACTGATGACATACGGTGGGGTATGGATAATAAACAACTCACAGTCATGACCTTGCTAGATTTCAGAAATGCGTTCAATACTGTTGATTTCGATATACTGTTGAGTCAGTTGTATTCCCTTAACATATCTCCATCAGTAATTGACTGGTTTCAAAGTTATCTCTGTGGCCGTCGGCAGTGTATTCATGTTGATGAAACTCACTCATCTTGGTGTGATATTACTGCAGGCGTGCCGCAGGGTGGCGTGTTGTCACCTTTACTCTTTTCCATTTTCATTAATTCAATTACGCATAAAATTTCTTCTCTCTACCACATGTACGCGGATGATGTCCAGATTTACACCCAGTCAACTCTTGAGAATTTGCCAAATGCAATCGCTACATTAAACAATCACTTAAATATGATTCATGAGTGGAGTCAATCATATGGCCTAAATGTCAATCCTAAAAAGTCACAGACTATCATTTTTGGTAGTCAGAGCTTTATCTCAAGAATTGACTGGTTCTCCATACCACCTGTTGTATTCGATGGGGTTGTGATCCCTTACTTTGACAATGTCAAAATCTTGGTGTTTACCTTGATAGTTCCTTAAATTGGAAACGCCAACTGAATGAGGTAAGTAAGAAAACCTTTGTCACTCTTAGTTCACTGCGTCGCCTTCGATCATTTCTTCCCATTCCTACAAAAATTATGCTCGCACAGTCTCTTCTCCTACCGATTTTCGACTATGCTGACGCAAGGTATGTAGACATAACTAAAGACCAGCTAACTAAGCTTGAGAGACTTCAAAATACTAGTATTTGGTTCATATTTGGATTGCGCAAATTTGACCACATTTCCCAATTTCGCTCCCGTCTCAAGTGGTTACCTATCCAATTTCGCCGGAACATGCATATTCTTTCTATTCTGTACTGTGTCTTATTTAACCCTTCTACTCCTCCTTATCTTAAGGAGAAATTTAGTTTTGTTGGGCTTCCAGGGGAACCTTTACGCTCTTCAAGAAAACTCATTTTAAGGGTACCAGCTCACAATATATCTTTCTTTAATAAATCTTTTACTGTACAGTCTATTAAGCTCTGGAATGCCCTACCTTTTATATTATACGCGAAGCTCAGACTATTGTAGTCTTTAAGCGACTTCTTAAAGAGCTTTACTTGTCTCAATCGTTCGAAAATCATTAGGATAAATTATGTGATTATGTAGTTTTGTATTTATTTCTTTATGTTATTGTTAGTGGTATATATTTGAGGATATATGTACATACATATATGTATATATATATATATATATATATATATATATATATATATATATATAGAGACAATATATATATATATATATATATATATATATATCTATATATATACATATATGTATGTACATATATGTATATGTGTGTGTGTATGTTTATGTATATGTGTATCATAATTTTTTAATGTATTAGTTATTTATATGTTATTTTATTGCATGTATTGATATTATATTAGGTATATTTATATTGCACCACCTACCTAGTACTCACTGTTTTATTCCTTTACACCTTTGGTTGCCTGGAAGAGATCGCTATGTAGCGATAAGGCCGCCAAATTGTACATGTAATCTGCTCTCTGTTATGTTCTTTGTAAATTTGTTTGTGGTGTGCAATAAAGTATATTCATTCATATTCATTCATTAATTCATGTGTTGGTAATATTTTAAATGGATATATTATCCCTTAGTCATCTTGGCTTTAATCAAATTATTTTAAATGATATTTAGAATGTATATTCACAATAAATCAATACATGTCAAAAATAAAATCCGTACGACATTTGTGCACATACATGCACTATATTTCGCCAGAACTAGTGAAAAGATTTTCCATCGATTGTAATCAGCGTTATCGTCATCGTCATTGTCATCGTCATCGACATCGACATCGTAATCGTCATTGTCATCGTAATCGTCATCGTACCATTTACGCCATCGTCATGATGACGATACATTATCAACGTCATCATCATCGTCATCGTCATCATCACTGTCAGCATCATCGTTATTCATCAGTCATCATCTTCGTCATTGATCATAGTCACCGTCAACGTCATGTATATCGTCATCATTATTGTCATCGTCATCATCATCGTCGTCGTCATCATCCTCAGAATAATCAATATCGTCCTCGTCATTATCATCGTTATTATCAGCGTCATCATGATCGTCATCATCATCGTCATCAACATGTTCATCATTTTCATCATCAATGTTCATCTTCATCATTATCGACATTGTCATCGTCATCAGAATAATCATTCATCTTATCATCATCGTCATCGTCATCGTCATAGTCATCGTTGTCGTCATTGATCATCGTCACCGTCATCATCATGTTCAACGTCATCATCATCGTCATCGTTATCGTCATCTTCATCGTCATCGTCATAGTCATCGTCATCGTCATCGACATCGATGTCATTGTCATTGTCATCGTCATCGTCATCATAAAATATTCGCTATCGTCATGATGAAGATACATCGTCGTCGTCATCTTCATCTTATCATCATCGTCATGGTCAAAGTTGTCGTCATTGTCATCAACATCATCATCATTGTCATTAACAACGTTATCGTCATCTTCATTGTCATCGTTATTGCCATCGTATTTGACATCGTCATTGTCATCGTAATCATCATCATCATCGTAATCTTCATCATCATTTACATTGTCATCGTCATCAGAATAATCATCATCATTGTCATAATCGTCATCGTCACATCATCGTCATCGACATCGATACCGCCATCGGCATCATCATCGTCATCAATATCATCATTATTGTTATCATCATCGTCGTCACATTATCACCATAGTCATCGTCATCGTCATAGTCATCGTCATCCTCATCGACATTGACATCCCCATCGTCATTGTCATCGTCATCGTCATCATACCATTTTCGCCATCGTGATAATGATGACACATCATCAGCGTCATCGTCATCTAATCATCAGTGTCATCAGCGTCGTCATTATCATCGTCATCGTCATCGACATCGATATCGTTATCGTCATCATCATCTTAAAAAAAATCATCATCATTGTCATCAACAACGTTATCATCATCTTCATTGTCATCTTCATTGTCATCGTCATTGACATCGTCATTTCGTCACATCATCATCGTCATCTTCATCGAAACCGACATTGACATCGTCATCAGAATAATCATCAACATCTTCGTCACATCAACGTGACCGTCATCGTCATGGTCTATGTCGTCAGAATCGTCATCATCATCGTCGTCGCAATCATCATCGTCACCGTCATCGTCATGGTCTACGTCGTCATAATCGTCATTATCATCATCGTTATCATGATAGTCATTGACATCGTCATTGTCATTGTAATCATCATCATCATCGTTATCTTCATCATCATCGAAATTGTTATCGTCATCAGAATAATCATCATCATCGTTATCATCATCGTCGTCACATCATCTTCAGCGTCATCGTCATGATGTACGTCGTCATAATCGTCATCATCATCGTCGTCGTGATCATCATCGTCACCGTCATCGTTATGGTCTACGTCGTCATAATCGTCATCATCATTATCATTATCGTGACCGTCATCGTCATCGTCACAGTCATCGTCATCCTCATCGTACCATTTTCGCCATTGTCATGTTGATGACAGATCATCGTCGTCATCGTCTCTTATATTCATCGTCATCGTCATTGTCATCGTCTCTTATATTCATCGTCATCGTCATTGTCATCGTCATTGACATCGTCATCGTCATCGTCGTCATACATAATTGTCATCATTATCGTCATTGATCATAATCACCGTCATCTTCATGTTCAATGTCCTCATTATCGTCATCGTCATCATCATTTCGTGCTGTCTGTCACATCGTCATCGACATCGACATCGTAATCAACAACGTCATCGTCAACGTCAACGTCATCAACAATGTTATCGTCACTGACATTGTCATCGTCATCGTCATCGTACCATTTTCGCCATCGTCATGATGACGATACATCATCAACATCATCGTCTTCGTCATCTTCATCATCATCGTCATCAATATCATCATCATTGTCATCAACAACGTTATCGTCATCGTCATTGTCATCGTCATCGACATCGACATCGTAATCAACAACGTCATCGTCAACGTCAACGTCATCAACAACGTTATCGTCATCGTCATTGTCATCGTCATCGTCATTGTCACCGTCATCGTCGTCGTAATCAATATCATCATCATTATCATCAACAACTTTATTGTCATCGTCATCGACATCGACATCGTAATCAACAACGTCATCGTCAACGTCAACGTCATCAACAACGTTATCATCATCGTCATTGTCATCGTCATCGTCATCACACCATTTTCGCCATCGTCATGATAACGATACTTCATAAATATCATCGTCATCGTAATCGTCATCGTCATTTTCATAATCATCGTCGTCATCGTCATCTTATCATCATCGTTATCGTCATCGTCATTGCCATCGTCATCGACATCTTCATCGTCAACGACATCGCCATAGTCGTCGTCATTGTCGTCGTCAACATCATCATCAGAATAATCATCATCATCGTCACCATTATCGTCTCCGTCATCGTCATCGTCATTTTCATAGTCATAGTCATAGTCAACGTCGTTATCATCGTCACCAACATCATCATCGTTGCCATTTACAACGTTATTGTCATCTTAATTGCCATAGTCATTGACATCGTCATTGTCGTCATCATTGTCATCGTCATCATCATCATCAGAATCATCATCATCATCATCGTCATTATTATCGCCACCGTCATCGTCATTGTCACCATAATCGTCATTCATCATAATCATCATCTTCGTCATTGATCATAGTCACCGTCAATGTCATGTATTTCATCATCATCATGGTAATCGTCATCATCATCGTCATCGTCACCGTCATCGTCATAGTGTTGGTCAACGTCGTCACCATCGTCACCAACATCATTATCATTGTCATTAACAACGTTATCATTATCTTCGTGGTCATCTTAATTGCCATCGTCATTGTCATTATCATTGTTACCGTAATCATCATCATCATCCTCATCTTCATCATCATCCATATCAGTATAATAATCATCATTTTTATAATCATCGTCGTCACATCATCGTCAACGTCATCGTCATGGTCTACGTCGTCATAATCGTCATGATCATCGTCTTCGTAATCATCATCGTCACCGTCATTAACATTTGATATAATCAGTCATCGTCATCTTATCGTCATCGTCATCGTCATTGTCATTATCATCGTCATAGTCATCATAATCATCGTTATCGTCATCGACATCGACATCGTAATCATCATTGTCATCGTAATCGTCATCGTACCATTTTCGCCATCGTCATGATGATGATACACCATCGGCGTAATCGTCATCTTATCATCGTCGTCATTGTCATTGCCATTGTCATCGACATCTTCATCATCATCGACATTGTAATAATCGTCGTCTATGTCGTCGTCTCATCATCATCATCATCAGCATAAACATCATCATTGTCACCATAATCGTCATCATAATTGTTACCATTATCGTCATTCATCATAGTCATCATCATCGTCATTGATAATAGTCACCGTCATCGTCATGTTCAACGTCATCATCATCGTCATCGTCAACATCATCGTCATCATCATCATCATCATCATCATCATCATCATCATCATCATCAGAATTATCATCATCATCGTTATCATTATCGTCACCGTCATCATCATTGTCAGCATCATCGCCATTCATCAGTCGTCATCATCGTCATTGATCATAGTCACCGACAACGTCATGTATATCGTCATCATCATCGTCATCTTATCATCATCATCTTATCATCATCGACATGGTCATCGTCATTGCTATCGTCATCGTCATTCATCATAGTAATCATTTTCGTCATTGTTCATCATCGTTATCGTCGTCGTCATCATCATCAACAGAATCATCATCATCATCGTCATCATTATCGTCACCCTCTGTCATCGTCATCAGAATAATCATTCATCTTATCATCATCGTCATCGTCATCTTCATCGAAACCGACATTGACATCGTCATCAGAATAATCATCATCATCTTCGTCACATCATCGTGACCGTCATCGTCATGGTCTATGTCGTCATAATCGTCATCTTCATCGTCGTCGCGATCATCATCGTCACCGTCATCGTCATGGTCTACGTCGTCATAATCGTCATTTTCATCATCGTTATCGTGACCGTCATTGACATCGTCATTGTCATCGTAATCATCATCATCATCGTTATCTTCATCATCATCGACATTGTCATCGTCATCAGAATACTCATCATCATCGTAATCATCATCGTCGTCACATCATCTTCACCGACTTCGTCATGGTGTACGTCGTCATAATTGTCATCATTATCGTCGTCGTGATCATCATCGTCACCGTCATCGTCATGGTCTACGTCGTCATAATCGTCATCATCATCATCGTTATCGTGACCGTCATTGACATCGTCATTGTCATCGTAATCATCATCATCACCGTCATCGACAATGTCATCGTCGTCGTCATCGTCATCGCCGTCGTCATCGTCATCGTCATCGTTATCATCGTCATCACTATCATAGGCAAAATCATCATCTCTACGTCGTCATCATCACCATCGTCACCTTCATCGAAACCGATATTGACATCGTCATCAGAATAATTGTCATCATCGTCATCATCATCGTCGTCACATCATCGTCACCATCATCGTCATCGTCTATGTCGTCAGAATCGTCATCATCATCGTCGTCGCGATCATCAACGTCACCGTCATCGTCATGGTCTACGTCGTCATAATCGTCGACATCATCATCGTTATCGTGACCGTCATTTACATCGTCATTTTCATCGTAATCATTAATATCGTCATCTTCATCATCATCGACATTGTGATCGTCATCAGAATAATCATCATCATCGTCATCATCATCGTCGTCGCATCATCTTCACCGACATCGTCATGGTCTACGTCGTCATAATCGTCATCATCATTATCGTGACCGTCATCGTCATCGTCATAGTCATCGTCATCCTCATCGTACCATTTTCGCCATCGTCATGTTGATGACACATCAATGTCGTCATCATCATCTTATATTCATCGTCATCGTCATTGTCATCGTCATTGACATCGTCGTCGTCATCTTCGTCATATATAATTGTCATCATTATCGTCATTGATCATAATCACCGTCATCTTCATTTTCAATGTCCTCATTATCGTCATCGTCATCATCATTTCCATCGTCATCGTCATCATCAACTTCGTCAATATCATTATCATCGACATCGACATCGTCATCGTCATCATCGTTGTCATCAATATCGTCATCATTGTCATCAACAACGTTATCGTCATCGTCATTGTCACCGTCATCGACATCGACATCGTAATCGTCATTGTCATCGTCATCGTCATCGTCATAGTCATAATCAACGTCGTCATCATCATCTTATCATCATCGTCATCGTCATTGCCATCGTCATCAACATCTTCATCATCAACGACGTCGTCATAGTCGTCGTCATTGTCGTCGTCATCATCATCAGCATAATCATCATCATTGTCACCATCATCGACATCATCATTGTCACCATCATCGTCATTCTTCATAGTCATCATCATCGTCATTGATCAGTCAACGTCATCTTCATGTTCAACGTCATCATCATCATCATAATCATCATCATCATCATCATCGTCATTATTATCGTCACCTTTATCGTCATTGTCACCATCATCGTCATTCATCATAGTCATCATCTTCGTCATTTATCAGTCACCGTCAACGTCATATATTTCGTTGAAATAATACTAGTTTTTACGGAATTTATCGCGTATATTTAACTTTTTTACCCGACGTTTCGAGAGCTTTACACCCATGGTCACGGGAAGGACTGAGATGTTCAACGTCCAGCTGTCATAGTTAACCGTGGTTACCATAGATTAAAATTTAACTTTTGTTCCGATCTACACAGTATGAACTTAAGGTATCATGGAGTCTTGCAGTTGTATGCTTGGGTTGGGATTTAATTTTATTTATTATAGATCCCAAGCAGATGGTAGCACCCAGCCATCTTCTCTATTGAAATTAGGATGTTTTTTGATTTCAATAGCCTCGCGAATCATCCTTGGAAGGAATCGGTGTTCTTTAGCGAGGATTTGTGGTCTATCAAATCTGATGTAGTGACGGGGGCGATCCTGTACATGTTCACAGACTGCAGACTTCCCTGTCTGTGAACATGTGAACATGTACAGGATCGCCCCCGTCACTACATCAGATTTGATAGACCACAAATCTCGCTAAAGAACACCGATTCCTTCCAAGGATGATTCGCGAGGCTATTGAAATCAAAAAACATCCTAATTTCAATAGAGAAGATGGCTGGGTGCTACCATCTGCTTGGGATCCTATAATAAATAAAATTAAATCCCAACCCAAGCATACAACTGCAAGACTCCATGATACCTTAAGTTCATACTGTGTAGATCGGAACAAAAGTTAAATTTTAATCTATGGTAACCGCGGTTAACTATGACAGCTGGACGTTGAACATCTCAGTCCTTCCCGTGACCATGGGTGCTGTAAAGCTCTCGAAACGTCGGGTAATTAAAAAGTTAAATATACGCGATAAATTCCGTAAAAAACTAGTATTATTTCAATGTGTAGTGTTCGCGTAAATATAAGAAATCGTCATATATTTCGTCATCATCATTGTCATCGTCATCTTCATCGTCATCGTCATTGTCATTGTCATCTTCATCATCATCATCAGAATAATCATCACCATCGTCATCATTATCGTCACCGTCATCGTCATCGTCATAGTCATAGTCATGGTCAACGTCGTCATCATCGTCACCAATATCATTATCGTTGTCATTAACAACGTTATCGTCATCTTAATTGCCATCGTCATTGTCATCGTAATCATGATCATCATCGTTATCGTCATCATAATCATCATCGTCGTCGTCATTATCATCGTCATCGTCATCATCATCGTCATCGTCATCGACGTCTTCGTCATCGTCATCGACAATGTTATCGTCGTCGTCATCGTCATCGACGTCGTCATCGTCATCGTCATCATCATCGTCGTCATCATCATTATTGTCACGGTCATCTTCATGGTCAACGTCGTCGTCGTCATCATCGTCATCTTCATCATCATCGTCATTGTCATCGTCATCAGAATAATCGTCATCATTGTTATAATAATCGTCGTCACATCATCGTCACCGTCATCGTCATGGTCTACGTCGTCATCATTGTTATCATCATCACCGTTATCGTCACCGTCATCGTCATCGTCAGTCATCGTCATCGTCATCGACATCGACATCGTCACCGTCATCGTCATTGTCATCGTCATCGTTATCGTCATTGCCATCGTCATCGAAATCTTCATTGTCAACGACATCGCCATAGTCGTCGTCATTGTCGTCGTCATCATCATCATCAAAATAATCATCATTATTTTCATGATCATCATCGTCGTCGTCATCATCGTCACAGTCATCTCATGGTCAACGTCGTCATCATCGTCATCGTCATCATTTTCGTCCTCGTCATCATAGTAGTCACCGTCATCGTCATCGACGTCGTCATCGTCATCGGCGTCATCATCATTATCGTCAATATCATCGGCATAATCATCATCGTCATCAATATCATCGTCGTCGATTTCATCAAAGTCGTCATCATCGTCACCGTCATCGTCATCGTCATAGTCATCGTCATTGTCATCGACATCGACATCGTGATCGTCATTGTCATGGTCATTGTCATCATCATTGCTATCGACATCGACATCTTCATCGTCATCGACATCGCCATAATCATCGTCATCGTCGTCGTCATAATCATGATCATAATAATCATCATATTCGTCATCATCATTATTATCGTCATCATCGTCATCAACATCATTATCAATGTCATCAACATCATTATCAATGTCTTCGACATCGACATTGTCATCTTCATTGTCATCATCATCGTTATCGTACCATTTTCGCTATCGTCATGATGATGACACATCGTCGTCGTCATCATCATCTTATCATCAGCGTCATCGTCACCGTCATTATCATCATTATTGTCATTGTAGTGTAGTGCTCCCATGTTAATATACTTTAGTGTTAAGGTTGAATAATGAGGCAGTCTAATTGAAGTTTTAGTACCAACCACACGTCTCCTTCAATGACACCTTTCCTTTATTACATGGCGACCCTGCCGGGCCAAGTTAAAAGGTGGAAAAAATACTTAATAGAATAACTTCAATGAAATTAACACCGAAGAACGACGTTGAGCATTTCATCGACACCAATGGACCACCACTTCATTGTCGTGCACGTCCAATCGCACCACACCTATACGAGCAAGTTCGAAAGGAATTCGAAAACATGATTGAGCAAGGAATATGCCGTCCAAGCAAAAGCCCTTGGTCATCACCACTTCACATTGTACCGAAGAAGAACGGAGAATTACGAGTTTGTGGAGATTACAGAAGACTGAATTCTATTACCACTCCTGACCGCTACCCAATACCGCGAGTCAGGGATTTCACTCATCAACTATCAGACAAGACTATATTCTCCACCATCGATCTCAACCGAGCTTACCAACAAATAAGAGTCCGCGATGAAGACATAGAGAAGACAGCAATAATTACCCCAATGGGATTATTCGAATTCCCAAGAATGATCCCAGGATTAAAGAACGGAGGTCAAACTTTCCAAAGATTCATACACGAAGTACTTCATGGACTGGATTTCGTTTTCGCATTTATTGATGATCTCCTTGTTGCAAGCCCTGATAAAGAAACGCACGAAACCCATCTACGCACCGTGCTACAGCGATTAGAAGACAACGGAATCACAATCAACCCTTCGAAATGCATATTTGGACAGCAAGAAGTTCAATTTCTTGGTTTCACCGTCAGCAAGGAAGGAATAAAACCGCCTGCCGAAAAAGTCAGAGCAATCATCGATTATGCAAAACCTAAAACTATCGAAGAGCTAAGGCGTTTTCTTGGGATGATAAATTTTTACAGAGAACACATACCTAAAGCCGCTGAAATCCAAGCACCACTTCACGCCTACCTTCACAACACGAAGAAAAAAGATAAAACGTCAATCGAATGGAACGATGAAGCCACGAAGGCATTTGAAGCTTGTAAAATTGCGATCCAAAATGCAGCTTTACTCGCTCACCCATCACACGAAGCAACCCTTGCTATCTTCAGCGACGCATCCGATCTCTCAGCAGGAGCAGTTCTCCAACAATACAGCAATGGGAAATGGCAACCACTTGGATATTTTTCGAAGAAGTTCTCCGATACTCAACGTAACTACAGTACATTCGACCGAGAACTACTCGCTATTTACATGGCTATCAAGCACTTCAGAAAAACGTTCGAGGGTCGAAACCTGATCGTTTTTACCGACCACAAGCCATTAACATATGTACTTCCAAAGAAACCATCACTATCGGAAACACCACGAAGAGCAAGACAACTTATTTTCATAAGTGAATTCACGACCGACATACGTCACATCAGTGGAAAGGACAACATAGTTGCCGACGCACTCAGTCGCGTACCAATCGACAGTGTAACGTGCCCTACATCAATCGACTATCATAAGATCGCCGCAGCACAAGACAGAGATAGTGACAACATAAAACATCTATCGAAGCAAGGTAACTTGTCCATCAAGCAAGTTACAATGCCAATGACGCATCTACCTATATACTGTGAAGCCTCAACGACAACCATGCGACCATACATACCAGAAGAATGTCGTCGCGAAGTCTTCAATACACTGCACAACATTAGTCATCCAGGTGTTAGAACAACAAGAAAACTCATCACTGAAAAATTCTTTTGGCCTGCAATGCAAGCGGATGTTGGCAACTGGGCGAAGCAATGCATTCAATGCCAAAAATGCAAAGTACAAAGGCATACATCAAGTAGTCTAGCTACATTTCCACCCACGGAGAGATTCGAACACTTGCACGTTGACATCGTTGGACCATTACCTACTTCACCGCAAGGACATCGTTATCTCGTAACAATGATCGACAGAACAACAAGATGGCCAGAAGCAATACTTACCGATGATACTTCAGCCGAATCCGTCGCGAAGATAATTTATGAAAATTGGATTACTCGTTTCGGATCACCTAAAACCATCACAACGGATCAAGGAAGGAATTTCGAAAGCAACCTATTCCTCAAACTTCTTCAAACTATGGGAATACAGAAGACGCGTACAACAGCATACCATCCTCAGTCAAACGGAATAATCGAACGATGGCATCGTACATTAAAGACTGCACTCAAAACTCGTTTATCTCAACATACAAAGTGGATTGATGAGCTACCTACAGTGCTACTCGGACTACGAGCAACACCGCGTGCAGACACTAGTCTTAGCGCCGCTCAGCTAACCTACGGCTGCAGCATAAGGCTGCCGTGTGACTTCTTCAGTTCAGCAGCGTCAAGCAAACAAGAAATGGATTACGATTTCGTAACTAAACTTCGAGAATCAATTAACAAAGCCTTATCGTTGAAATGCACCGAAATGCAATCACACAGAAATAATAAATCAGTATTCATTCACCAAGATTTGAAAACATGCAAGCAAGTTTTTGTAAGAAACGACGCAATGAAAAAACAATTTCAACCTACCTACGATGGACCGTATAAAGTATTAGAGAGAAATAGCAAGACTTTTAAACTACAAATACCCGGAAGGAAATCTACGATTATATCGATCGACCGACTAAAGCCTGCCTATATTATTAACGAGGATACTGCAGAGGATTCATCATCATCATCAAAACCACCAGCGAGGAAGCTTGAAACTTCATCATCTACATCAACCCAGTTGAAACCTATTTTAAAAACTACGAAATACGGGCGAGTCGTCAAGCCTCCGGTACGCTTTCGCTGGGGGGAGAGTGATGTAGCAGCCAGATTAATCAAACCGAAACGGGAATAAATAATATATACTCCGCTGCTACCATAACGCGGAAGGCGAGAATAAATAAAAAAACATTTTATTTCCTAATTATTCTTGGCTACTGAGATACTGCGGACTGTATATAGATAATTTGACGTTCTTATAAAGAAACAAGAAGCAGCCGCAAATATCATTCAGAGCCACACCGACTTCACACGCCGCTATCGTCACGTATCCGTCGACCAATGGTGAGCCGTTTCTTCAACGCCGCAGTTCGTTTCCTCTTGCTGTTCCGGAGCTGTATTCCACACCGCCGCCGCCCGCCGACTACGCGTGCGCACCGATCTGCATGTCTTATATAGCCCGGTCCAGCGACGTAGCTTCGTGAACAACAAACAAGTCTCACGCCGGGAAACGAAACGTAGATAATTGTATATTTTAAATAGTTTTCATTGGTCATAAAATAAGCAATATAATTGGCTAGGCAAAATATTAATTGTTACCATTGGCAAATCAATAGTGAGCCAGCCATATAAATATAGGCAAGGTTGATGCAAAAGATATTCCATTCCGAATCCCATTCGACAGTACATTCATAAACATAAACAGTAGTTTCATTTCTCCACCTTAAAGAAAACCACTCGGAGTCTGTTAATAGTGGACAGTTCGTCTCCACTATTACAATATAATGAAGATAAAAAAATATATACGGAATGGATGCAATACCGGATTTGACAATAATAAATAAGCTGCCGTGACTGAAATTCGGTCTGGAGGACATTACATACATTACGTCAAGGCACTCGGACCACGCTTAGCTCAAAAATATAGGTATAAATGGAAATTTGTGAAACAAGTGATAGGTGGAAAGCCCATTGGACACGCAATCACAAACCAAATATCAATAACATGCTAGATATTCGTTCCACGATTGAAAAGGGAAAGAAGTAGTTGTATTTTAGCGGGCATCACCCAGAAGGATGTGAAAATTGAGCCGAAAAGAAAAAGAAGAATTTGAGAGGTAAATTTGCGCCTGTGTGATTTTTAATTCCATTTGAAACACTAATAATTTGAGATTTTTAATGTTATTTTTGCTTTAAAAAAGTTTCTGTATTTAAAATATGATTAAATTTAAGTATTTAGCAGATAATTCACGATTTAATTTTTTTTTAAATATTTATATTAATGAAAAAGTAAGCACAATGCAATAATTTAAATTAATCAATAATCTAGCACTTGATTTTATATTCAATTTTATTCAGTTATAGTTGTATGTTATTTTTATTACTGTTTGCTGCAAAACATGAATAAAATAATATTGTTACGTTGAAGCTTAGCTTGTCTCGCCAAATTCAATACTGCCCCGATCGCGTATTGCAGCGCCTATATAGAAACCTTATTCACCAAAACATCCAGAATATTCAAGTAAATACGTGCGCCAAACGACCATGCACCGAAAGTTCGAGTGTAATGCTTCGAGAAAGCTTAGTTCTTCAATTCTGTTGGTTGAAAGACTAGTCATATCATTTTCTGGATAGCTGCCCTCGCTCTATTTCCCGTCACTAGATGGCGCTAGTGACAGACGTCAACATATGCGCGCAACACTGCCCCCTCCTAAGACATGCTCGTCTCGAGCATTATCGGCCCCATATTAACGAGCCAGGCGATCCACATGGACGATCTTAGCAGTCCCTCTAGCGCCTTTCTGTATCCGGTAGGTTACATCGTTGATTCTGGTCACAATCCAGTACGGGCCGTCCCATTTAGCTTGAAGCTTAGGAGATTTCCCTTCGCTGCGGACTGGATTGTGCAACCACACTAGTGAACCTTCGCCGAACCCTTTGTTGTTCATTTTGCGGTCATACCGGGTTTTCATCTTTTCGGACATTGTGCTCATAAATGTCATTAATTTTGTTCCGCAAATCATTTGCATAATCGGTTATACTGCGTGGGACATCAGGTGGTATCCCGGTGATCAGGTATGCAGGCAGCCGTAATTGTCTTCCAAAGTTTGCGAAAGCTGGCGTCACTGATGTATTTTCATGAACAGCGCTTCGATATGACAACTAAAACGGTTTTATGTGCTTGTCCCAATCTCGTTGCCGATTGTCTACAACTTTTGCTAGGTACCTCTCCAATGTCTGATTAAATCGTTCCACCATTCCATCAGATTGCGGGTGATAAGAAGTCGTTCTTGTTTTATGAGTTCCCAAAACTCGGCAAGTTTCCTCGAATATTTGAGACTCAAAATTACTTCCTTTATCGCTTTGAATCTCTAAAGGTACTCCAAAACGAAAGAAGACTTCATAAACTAGTTTATCTGCAACTGTTGAAGCTTCTTGATTTGGAATGGCGAAGACTTCTGGCCACTTAGTGAAGTAATCCATCACAACCATGAAATACTTGTTACCCCTTTCAGTCTCCGGAAACGGCCCCGCCACGTCAATGGCTATTCTCTCCCATGGTGCACCAACATTGTACAACTTCAATGCACCTCTACTACGAGTCTGAGGTCCCTTTACAGCCACACAACTTGTACATTTGTGACACCAGTCCTCGACATCTTTTCGACAGTGGACCCAGTAAAACCGTTCTAGGATCTTCAGTACAGTCCGTTTAACTCCCAGATGGCTTCCTGAACATTCATTATGGTACAGTTGTAGAACATCCGGTACTCTAGCTTTAGGAACGACCATTTGAAAACGACAGCTGCTCCCCGAACATTTTCTCATTTACGGCACAGAACTCCATCCTGAAGCAGCAAGCTGTCCCATTGGGCCCAATAGCTTTTAGTGGTCGAACTCATATTGGAGATGTCGCTCCACTTGGGCTTGGGAGCACTGGCCTTCATCCATTTCAGAATCGGTTTGATGTCTGGATCTTCCTGCAGTGCATGTAGTAAGCTGTCCTTCCACTCGTTGCTGAGGTGGTTTGTCCTGAGCATCCTCACGGATACCACTTCCTTACTCTCTTGCCAATGGTTGCTATCTTCAGGACAAGGTCTTCTTGACAATGCATTTGCGTTACCATGAGACTTCCCGCTGCGATGTTAGATCTCAAAGTCGTATTCCTGCAGTAGTTCAATCCACCTCGCAACTTGTCAGAAGATATTTGCTAAAATGCTGTAACGACTTTACCATAGCTACCAATTCGCGTCTTGTGACACAATAGTTCCTTTCCGGTTTTGACAATGACTTGCTGAAGTACGCTATCACGACCTCTTGGTCACCATTCCGTTGAGACAATACACCA